GAATTCTCACAGCTGTTAAAAGAATTGGACTCTGGCATACCTCACTAGAGAATACCATGCTATTTTTTCTATAAAACCCTGGCATTTTATGCCTTTTCTTGTTTGTTTTGTGTTGTCAATTACAAAGTAATTCTGTAAACAGTACAGATAGCCCTGGACTGCCAACATAGGGGCTGGGCCAGGGCAGTCAAGGTCGTCCATATGCACATGGGCAGATAACCTGTTTTCCTCTGACATTTTTTTCCAAGTCAAATTCTTGGAAGATTGTCTATTTGTATGATAGAAATCCAGACCATAGACTTTTAAAACTAAAAGCATCACTGCTGAACTCCAGCTCAGTCTTCCCATTTTATAATGAGGACTCTGAAGTTTATAGAGGTCAAGGACTTGTCCAAAGCTTTAGATATGTAGTGTCTGTGCCCTTTTCCTCTAAGTTTCTCCTAGAGAATGTGGGGGCTCAGGAACAGAGAAAATTAGGTGCGAAAAGTAGAAATGGGTGGTGTTTCTCAAAGTGTGGTCCATCTGCATCCTAGTGACTGGGGTGCCTGTTAAAATGCATATTGCTGGGCCTTATCCCAATCTGACCAAATCATCTCAGGATCTACCTTTTGAACAAACTTGCCTAGGTCAAATTCTTTCTTGTGGAAGTTTAAGTTCTTTAGAAACAAGACAGCCACAGAGGGTGCACCTGCCAATTTGGTGGCTTCCAGTGCCTCATCTGTAACTTCTCATGAAATCCTGAGATGTTTTACTTTACATTGTTTACATCCCCTCGCGTTCCAACATTTAGAAATTCACTCGAGCTTATTTTTCTTACTTGTTTAGCACTAAATGAAAATAGCTTCCTGAAGGTAAGGAGGTTATATACAGTGATTCATGCAAGTGTGTAAATTAAACAGGTGACTTTTCCCAATATCTAATGCACAGCAGCTGTCCTGAAGGAGTGGGAACTTTGGATGAGGGGTAAAGGAGGGGATAACTTTGGACCACTGGAGAGAAAGTCAGGCTGTAGAGGCCTTCTATAATAATGGGACCACCAGGAGGTGGGAGAGTGGTTCAGTAAGGGAAGAGGAAGGTTGCCAAAGAAATACTCATCTTTCAGAAATTCACTAGGTTACCGCCAGTCACCCAAACAAGTCCTAAAAGGTAACTGTTGTGCCTCCTAAAAGAGAAAGGAAATGTCCTCCTTTTCCTTCCTCTGGCACAGGATGGGCCTCTAGCAGATGGGATTTTACCTAAATGTTATATTCTGGGTTTTAAACAAAATTTTGTGCCTTGGTCTCTATATCGCCTCCTCTCCTAACTTAAATGGACATATAGGAGGTATACTCTAAGCTTAGTTATTCAAGCATGTTTTGATCATTAGAGCAAGATGGGGTGCGGAAGGGGCAGCCGTGCTCTAAAAGGAACCAACAACAAATTTTACCAAGTTTATAAATAAAATTATCACTTAGAAGTATCATCTGTAGCAACTTTGGATGAGCAGCATAAATTGAAAAACAACCTGTGTTTTTGTTAACATCAATAGTCATTAAAATATACACAAGTGGAAGTCCTTACATATCAGGCACTTCCGCTTTTGTTGTTGCTGTTTAAAGACAAGTATTTTAAAGAAAACAGTTTTCCCCCTTAAAATCTGAGACTATCATATTTTTCTTTAAAAGTTATCATGCTTGGAAGCATTTAATGTTTCTGACAAAATGCACATTAGAATGTAAACTCTGGGCCAGCCAGTTTAAAGATTACTTTTTTCCCCCATCATATAAAATAAGTCTTTTACCCATTATATCCCTACCCGCTCCCCGCACCTCCCCAACCCCCCACAATATCTTCATGCCAAACTGACCTGCAGTTTTCTCTTAAAATACCAGGTTAGTTTACCTATGACATGATTAAAAAAAAAAAAGGGATTTAAAAAGAAATCCATTCACGCAGACAGCAAACTCTGGCTGGGATGCTGCCAGTTCCCACTGCAGGTAGGTCTGCTGGTTCAGCTATTGAGTTCTGTGGTCTCGTCAATCTCATCTGGATTTTTGGTCATCTTTTCATATTTTCTTTTGAAGAAGCCGAGCTGTAAAGGTGATGATACAAAAATGTTACCACTCGTAGCATATTTTGTAAGGTGCCTCCCACCGCCTTGGCTGCGCATGTCCTCTGACACACCTCTGGGAATCCCTGAGGCTCTGAAGGGAGGTGTGCAGACTGATGACCTGGTATCTGTCACCCGCTAGAAGGAAACATCTATCTAGAGAGCTCAGCTGCATTGCGTAAAGCTACATTTGTCAGCGTCTACTTATTTGAAGCTGAACAAAACATGCAGGGCTCTGGATAAAAGGAAAGTTTAAAAGAAGATAAAATCCTTACTGGTTGTTTTTAATGACATGAGTAAGAAATTGTAAACAAACTTGCATTTCTTTTCTCCTTGTGATAGAGAAGGTACCATATAAAACCTGAGGTTGATGTTTTGTAAGCAAATTCAAGGCTGACCTTCAGGAGCCCTGTATTTGAAAATATGAAGCTTTTCTTACCTTCCATAAAATTGCAACCAGAGCTAACAGCAAAAGGATTCCAGCAATTATACTTCCTATTATAACTCCTATTGGTACTTCGGCTTTCTCATCAGGTTTCATTATCATCAGGGGAATCTGGAAATGTCAGTTGACAGTTGAGTTATTTTAATACCACAAAAAAAGTGGGGAGATGGTCTAGTCCAATTCTCTCGTTCTGTAAAGGAAAGGCCAAAACCCCAAAAAGGTGACATGATTTGCTCATGATGGCGTATCTCAAACACTGGCAGAACAATTTTAGAGAAAATCCTCCTGCAAAGTCCATCCAGCTAAAAAATACAACTTTTCTAGTTTCCCCCCTTTAACTACATCACTGTCTTGTGGCTACTTCATGCCTGAGAATCTCAGATGCTTATTTTGCTTATGAAATAGAAACTTCCATTTCTGGCATACATTCAAATCAAGTGAAAGCATCATCAAGTGAAAGCAAACAGCTTTGGCGAGAGGAGTCGAAGAAACTCATTAACCCAACTTGATGGTGATGAAACCACAGCTTTGTATTGGGTCTAAAATACTAGGTTCACTTAAACCTCATTCCAAGTTGATATTGTTGGAAAAGTAGAAATAGTATCTCAAGGGTCAAGTTGACCTTTTCAGTGGGAAAGTTGTCCTTGAGGCTACTTAGGATTCTTTATGTCTGCTTCCTGGCAATCTTTGAGATGCTGTAATGGAATGGCTACCCTGAGTTTTAACAGTAAAACTGTATATTCAGTTTTTAATTAATTAGGGGAAATTTAATTAATTGGGGAAAGAGTCTCAACCATTCATATTTCTTTAGAAAATATTCCTAAAGAGCTATATGTAGAAGCAACAGAAGGGGATAATATGTGTTTACTTGATTTAACCTTAAATTGCAGTGACAAATGAGCTGCTTTTTGTCATATAATTTATGGGCTGCACTAAACTTGCAGCTGACCTTGGCGACTGTATTTCTTTTCATTTGTATCTTCAAGAACTAAAATATAAGGCTTGATAAATTTATGAATAAAGTGATGATAAATTCATGTAGCTCACTGCTTAATGGCAGTCATAAGCTTTCTTCTCTCTTTTCCACAGCTTTCTAACCCAAGGAACCACAGATCCCTATGGACCCATGACTATAGCATTTTGTGGATCAGATTTTTAAGTGGGCTAGGGATTCAAATAAATATAACAGACACTTAGAACATGTGAAGTTATTATTTAGGTTAGATACCTTATTCAAAAATTTATCCAAATTAATGTATAGATTAAAAAAATTTTCATAGACACAACTGAGTAATATTAGGCTGGTGCAAAAGTAATTGCAGTCTTTGATATTAAAAATACTTTTTCTTTACTTTTCTTTTTTTTTGAGACAGAGTCTGGCTCTGTCATCCAGGATGGCGTGCAGTGGCGCAATCTCAGCTCACTGCAACCTCTGCCTCGCAGGTTCAAGTGATTCTCCTACCTCAGCCTCCCGAGTAGCTTTGATTACAGGTGTGCACCACCACACTCAGCTAATTTTTGTCTTTTTAGTAGAGACAGGGTTTTACTATATTGACCAAGCTGGTCTCAAACTCCCAACCTCAGGTGATTCGCCTGCCTCGGCCTCTCAAAGTGTTGGGATTACAGGTTTGAGCCACCGCTCCCAGCCTTTCTTTACTTTTAATGGCAGATACCACAATTACTTTTGCACCTAGTAATTGGCTTCTGTTATTTATTAGTATTGCTCAGATAAAACCAATAAAAGAAGAATCTAATGGGTTTGTTAAAATTGTTCATTTGAATTTCCGATTAATATATTTAATACTGCTTTCTCAAAACAGTGTTCAGTGGAGTTTCACATATTGTCTGAACACTGTTTTTCTAAAGTGAGCTTTTAAAAAAAATCTGTAATACTTCTCCCCGATGCTAAGTTCATAGCATTTTGAATTTGAAGCCCGCATTTCCTTTGGCTCTATTTCTGATTTTCCAGGCCCTAGTCTCTGAAGAGAGGGTGTGGGCTTTCACTGAGGCTCCTAAACCAGAGGCAGAGAAGTAAGCTCTGTTGTGTGGAATCATTTTTCCCTGGACAAGAGTGGGGCCCCAGTGCTGTGAGCTTCACTCTCAGGCATGGAGTGAGGAGGCCCAGAGTTCATGGGGCCATAACTTTTTGACCAAGTCTGTAGGCTGGAGCAGTGGACTGAGGCCAACTGCCAAGCTGGCCTTGGGGCAGACTCTTAAACTGGCTTTCAACTCCTAACACAAGCATTGGGAGGAAAATGCTCAGGGCTCTGCCAGCAGATTAGCTGGGCATGGAAATCCTACTATATCTAAACATGGCACATTCTAACCAGAGATTTAGTGCAAAGGAAAATTATCTCATGCCAGCTTGTGGAACAGAGAGCCTTTGTTTTCTGTGAAAGTACATTTCTCTGTAAAAGCTTTTTTTTTTTTTAAATCAAGGGGAGCATTTATAGTCCTCCAGAACGTAAGATCTAATGAATGGACATGCCACACAGTATCAGTGTGTAGTTGTAAGGAGAACTATTTTTAAAAACCCTCTAATAAATGCATTATTTATTAAGCATGCTTCAGTACCTTTCTTTAAAAATTATTCAAAATACAATTTATGATTTAAATTAGCATAATTCGGTTTTGTGGCCTAAGCTCCAGACCATTTTGTGTAAGCAGGAGGAGAAAGGAAGAACTGGTGCTGCTGCCTTAGTCATGAGAAGAGACACCCTGGAGTCCCAAACAACATAGAGCCCCTTTTGTTGTGCTTCTCACTGGATCACCACTTCTAGGAAAGCCAGCTTTGCTGACATGGGTGGGGAGCATGGAGGAGGGCAAGTATAGCACTGAACTTTTTAAGTAGCACACACCCTCGCCGAAATTTCAACATAATAAACATCAGATCTTTAAAGTTTTAGTAAGATGTTTCTACATACATGTAGGTGAGAAGAGTGACTACTCCGGGCTTTTAGAAATGGAATGCCTATCACAGACCCTGAGGCTCACAAGGAAGGTGTGATATGCTCACCGTCACAGTGTTATCTTCGATCACGTATATCTCAGGGTTGTAGGTGTTGATTTCTGCAGCTGCCGTTAGCTGTACTGTCTGGAACGTTGACTGGAACGTAAAGGAATATGTTTTATCCTAGCAGCAGAAAATGCAGAAAAGCTGGCATGCTTATGATTTATGTGTTTATTTCCTGGTGGAATGTGACAAGAGCAAATAGTTCTGAAGACCTGTCCAGAATCTGGGCATGTTTAAACCAGTGCTGTGTAACAGGACTGCCCGTCAGAAATACCTAGGGTAATTTTAAGATATGTAGATGCCTGCACCTTGCCACCACAAATCTACTTTTTGGGGTGGGATCAAGACATGAGTGGGTTAAAATATCTCCCTGAGGAGATCTGAACTTGAGAACTGGGTTGAAAAACGAGGATTTAAAAATGAATTTAACTTGGAAGATCATAGTGCAGATTTTTTTAAAAATAAAGTTTATAACATGAGAGAAAATTGTAAACTTGGCATCTTTGTATAATTACCTGAACAAGTCACACAACGGAATGGAAAACCGACATTTAAAAGGGAAGAGAATTTTCCTTCTGGGTACATGTGTGTAAAATAATACTGTTTGAAAGTGCATTTGAATTTGACCACCCATGGCCCTGAACTTTTTGGCTTGTTATATCACATCAGTATAACTTCACATTTCCTATCTAAGTGTTTCTATCAAATAACACTTAATTTGGGGCAGGTATGTAGGAAGGATATTTTATGCTGCTGTTACTGGTAACTTCCTAATTCAAAATAACTTTACATTCATTCCTCCATCTAGTTACAGAAAAAGAGCCTAGTTTTCAGCCAGGCACAATGGCTCATATCCATAATCCCAGCACTTTGGGAGGCTGAGGGGGGTAGATTACCTGAGGTCAGGAGTTCAAGACCAGCCTGGTCAATATGGCGAAACCCCGTCTCTACTAAAGAATATAAAAAAATTAGCCGGGTGTGATGGTGGGCGCCTGTAATCCCAGAGACTTGGGAGGCTGAGACAGGAGAATCACTTGAACCCGGGAGGCGGAGGTTGCAGTGAGCTGAGATCGAGCCACTGCACTCCAGCCTGGGCAACAGAGCAAGGCTCCTCTAAAAAGAAAGAAAAAAAAAAAAAAAAAAAGGTCTATTTTTCAATAGAAACATGATTGATGTGTCTATTTCACTATTTTCTCTATATTAGGTCTGATGCTACTGTAAAGTGGAATGCAGTGCTCACATGTTAGAGCTGCTTTCACATGCTGTGGCTACTAGGACTCAGTTTTTCTGGTTACTAGGGCACATTATTGAACATACTCTATGAGGTAATTTGCTAAACAATATCTGGGAGCCAGAAAGACTGTATTTCCAAAAACCGAGCATTTTATTTCCTTTCCACTGGCTCAGTCTCTGGTTACTGTTAATTTTCTCAAGATAGATGACTGGATCAGAAATTAACCATGCTCACCAGTCTCTTAAACATATTATTGGGGGAAACATTAAGAGTATTGATAATGGTTTAAGTTTAAGAAAAAAACTGGTAGTTAAGTAAATACTGGTTTCATAATCCCCAAAGACTAAAGATGAAAGAATTTTTCTTATAGCATTCTCAAAATAGGCCCTTCTCACAGGCACACAATATCCTACTTATTAACACAGGGTTAATAAGTAGAGGTAGGCATGGCACACACATCTGGAGAGTGAAGGAACGCACCTGCTAGCATTCAAGAAGACTTCTCCTTACAAATGGCAGCAACTCTATCATCAATTTGGAGGCCTGATCAATCACTTTGTAATGAAATTACTTGAAATGTTAAGTTGCCTTGCACTACATCAGAGAAAAGGTAGCAACAAAAGGCAGTGCATCAATGGGTTCAAATACAGGAAATGAAATCCATATTTCAGACCGGACCTCCTAAGTGGTCTGAGAAACATCCACTTTGCTGCTTAAATTGCTGGAAGCAAGGTGAGGATAAACATTTGACTTTTCATGAAGGAGGAAGATATGTAGGACTTGACACCAATCCTTGTATGTCACTTGACATACCTTGACATCTCAAGGGTGTTTCCTTAGTTTAACCACCATAGCCACATTAAAGTGGCATAAATACTACACTTTCTAGGAAGTTTGCTCCCAGAAATAAACTACTGCTTCTGAAGATCGTTGGGAAGGTACTTTAAAAAGTCTCACAGTTAAAATGATGTAGTCTTAAACTCGAGAAAATCCAAATGTGTTTTACAGAGCTGGCATGCATGCATTTTGATGTGCAACAGTCAGTGTTCCTTCCAGTTGGCAAAATTTGCTCTGAAAACATTTGTTCCTGAAATCCAAGGAGCCAAGAACCAATGGAGCAAAACTAAGCACCACACGGCAGCAGCTGGGAAGGTGGTACAACTAACAGCACTCTTCACATCTTAAAGGACCTAGAATTGTCCTGAAGGCCTGAAACAAATGTAACTAACAGGAAAACAAAGTAAAAGCAAGCAGGCCAGAAGAAATATTCAACTCCTCACTTCCCCATTCCCCCAATTCTGCATTTTTTCTAACTTTTACTATTCATTTTTCTTCCATGTCTTTATCCAAGAATATTACTTATATTTGACTCCAGGGATGAGTTTGGAGGGTGCTGAGTTCTCCAGTTTTATAAAACTCTATAGCAGGAAGTGGGTTTATTGAAGAGATCATGAAACAGTAAAAAGAAAAAAAAATGAGTAGCGTTTGGCTGTAAGCACCTTGGGAACAGATTTATTTGTTAAAAAGAAAAAAAAAATTTAGTTAGAGCTACAAAGGTCCCCAGGAGGTTTCAGACTAATTTCTGTTTTTCTTCCTCAATTGGAGCTCATGTCAGTAAAAGGAATGCTAGCCACACAAGCAGTCCAATTTAAGGAGGCCGGTCTATCCTTATATTTTTTTCATGCCAGACTGAAATTCTGGCTACCAAAATCCCTGCTGAAAGCAAATATCACTAGAGCAGATTCACAGTTGCCATATGGAAAAACAACAACAACAACAACAATGACATTGTTTTGGCTTTTTCTTCAAACTTTTCATGGGAATTGAGATGACTTAGAAAATCATGTGCCCACTGGGCTCTTCCATCAGGGAAGGTAAAACAGGAGAGCAGGGTGATGACCTGGCTGTAATATAGGAAGACATATCCGTATGCTAGATTCATCTACTGGGTGGTTTGAGATCAATCATACAATTAACTGAGAGCTCAAGGAGTGAGACAGAGCACAGGCATTTTGATTTGGGTGTGGCAGAGGAGACTGGGAAGATGGAGAGTGGGGTAAGTCCTAGAGCGGGACAAAGCAGGCTGCCTCTTGTAGCCCAGGGCCTCAGAGATGACCTTGACACCATTCCCATCGATGTGGTAGGTCGCTTGGAGTCTGAGAAACAGACCCTTTCACAAGTACCCCAGGCGACTCTGAGGCACTGTGACAAATTGGATGAGCATTGGAAAGGGATGGAAGTGTGCTGCCTTCCAGGGTGAAATGCTCTGGGTGATTTGACCACTGCAGACGTTAGCCAGAATACTTATTTTGTCAAAGGGGAAGAACTTGTCAGTGCAGCCTTACATTTCCTTGGTGTTGATAAATCTAAAAAATAAAACTTATACTTACTGATGCAAAAGTCCCGTTCCAAATTCTTGTAGTCACATTAACAAAGTATTCTCCTTTCATGTGAAGGTCTTTCAACCAGCAGGTAACATTACTACAGGAAGCAGTTCTGCAGTTCTTATAGTATGGAGTCAAAGGTAAAAGAGAGAGAAAGTTAGTAGGAGTTAAAAATAAATGCTAAAATGTTAAAGATAGATAAAACCCAGTGCTGGGATGCATCTAGGGAAACAGACAATCTCATGAGCTATTAGTAGTTCTAACCCTCCTGCCCTCCTTCAAAGGATTTTGGGACTATATCTTAAAATGTACAAAGTGCACACCCTTTGCCCCATCCATTTCCTGTCTGTATAGACAGCCTCAGGAGATAATCAGCAAGGTGTGGAACAAAGTACCCCAAGCCTGTTTATTGCACTACTAAGAGTAAAAAGACCTAAAAACCCAGCCCCCCAAAACTGTAACTTGTTTATCAACAATGTACTAGTTAAATAATTATTAAACATACACAAAATATACTACAATTTTGTCATTAAACCTAATGATAGACTCCCTAGATTTTAAAAAAAAGTTGACAGAAAGAGGATCAGTGGTTCCAAGGGCTAGTGGGGCGGGTGGAATGAATAAGCAGAGCACCGATGATGTGGAGGGCAGTGAATATACACTGTATGATACTGTAGTGGGGGATACATGTCATTTTACATTTGTCAAATTCCACAGCATGGATTTTAACACCAAGAGTGAACCCTAATGTAAACTATGGATTTTGGCTGATGATGATACATTAATGTAGTTTCATCGATTGTAACAAGTATACCACTCTGGTGCAGGATTTTGATAGTGGGGGAGGCTGTGTGGGACAGGGGGTATATGAGAAACTTCTGTACTTTCCACTCAATTCTTCCATGAACTTAAAACTGCATTAAAAAATGAAGTGATTAATTAAAAATCTATGAATATTGACCTATGTTCCAGGCCAAAAGGTAGCATGGCCCACTTCCATTACAGCATGCATTTACCTATTTGTAGATAATACACATTAAAAGAAACATAATTTTATTCTTCTGGTTTCCTGTTTTCCCCATCCTTCACAAAATAAAACAATTGCAATCAAAGAAAACCAGGAGAATTCCAATACTGTTCATAGGGGAGAGCTGTGGTTTGTTTAGGAGTTATTGCTTACTAAAGGTTTACTTATTTCAATATTAAATATGTGCCAAGCACCATGCCAGATGCTAGACTCGTCTCTTTCCCAAAGAAGCAGGCATAGCTTGACAGCAGGAAATAACAAAATACTGAAAAACAAAGAAGTGCAACAGCATATTTCACAGCTAAATAAAAAACATCAGTAGTATGTGGAAGGGGGATTTAAGGGGCTTCTCCTCTGTAGCACACACCCAGTTCCTTCACAGCTCTTTGCCTTATTTCCAAAGTGCACAATGCATAAACACAATAGCTTCACATGAGTTTTTCTGATGTCATGAAATCTGGAACTTGTATTTTATAAGAAGTGGCATAAGATAATTCCAGTAACCTAGATTTGAACACGTATTAGGTTGGTGCAAAAGTAATTGTGGGTTTCAAAACCGTATTTACTTTTGCACAACCTAATATTTTCTAAGTCTTGACTCATATAAGCATCAAAGTCAAAATAAGTAAGCTCTATGATATCAGCTGGTAGGAGAAAAGCAGCATCCTGATCACAGGTGAAATAAATGAATAAGGGGAGCTTTCACACGTTAACTTGTCCTCACCAATTCTTTGGTGTGCCTGAAATTTTCACTTTTGAAAGATACAGAAGATGTTTGTCCTATTTTCAGTGGATTGATATCTGCATTACAACTGATGTCACCAGCCTATAAAAGAAGAACACCTGATCAGACTTCAGAAACAAAACAGTTTATAATGTTCCTTTCAACATGTTAGGAAATCCTCCTATCACTTGTAGGGGCCTGGGAAGGGCTGTTAGGATTCTTTCAATGCCGCTGACCTGGCCACACTTCATATAATCATCAGGTAAACATGAAGTATTTAAATGCTCCTGATGTGAACTAATGAGGTGGGCTAGGTTCTTATAGCCCACATATGATGAGGCAAATCTGTAATAGCTAAACACTGTGAATAATTCAGGGTAATTTTCTCTGGAACATTTTAGGATTTTGATTTTCCTGTAGCCCCCTATGCACACTACAGGAATAAAACAACTATTGAATAATACCACTGTTGGACTGAAGATGAGCCAGTGTCAAGGGGTTTGGCTAGAGCTGTGCTTGTCAGCCCAGGATGCGTGCTAGAATCACGGGGTGGATGGAGTGGGGGTGGTTAAAGAAAAACCCTAGTGTAGGAATCTTATCCCTAGAGATCCTGATTTAATTACCTGGGTTAGGTCTGGGCACTCTTATTTAAAAGAGCAAACAGAGAGATTAAAATGAACAGCCAGGGTTGAGTATTACCAGGAGAAAGTCCAGGCTGGCTGCTTGAAGACCAGCTCCTCACTGCAGCTGTGAAGACCTGCTAAGCTTCCCATACAGGTTCAGCCTCTGACTTCCCAGCCTGCACAGGGCCTGTCAAAGTCAGATCTTCACCTGGCCAAAATGGGGTTTTTGGAATAATTTCTGCCACCTGCAATTCCCTAGACTCAAACATTTGTTTTCTTGTAACAATATTCTTCTTCTAATATGAAATTAACTGCTAGTCAGTTGGCACCTGGGCTGCATAGGAGTTACCGTCTGTTTCCCATCCGTAAAATGTCAGACATGATCACCCTAATCTCATGGGTTATTTCCATCTTGAAAGTGCATATTTTTTAGGCAATTTTGTATTCTTTACCTTGTCTGTTTGCACCCCAGTTAGGTACATCAGTGGGTTCTTTTCTTTGGTATATTGAGGGATGTGGATGATTACAGTTGCCATGCTTACTGGAACACTTCCTGTTGTTACCTACATAGAGAATAAAATGCACCAGTACTGCAACAGGATGTACATGATGCCAGGAAATTCACCAGTAACCCCTGTGTTGATGAAGGGCAACTACGAGGTAGTAAGATTGAGTCCAAATGAAAGTGAGCCATCACTTTATAGTCACACTTCAAGTCTCTGTGTCTCACCTCTTAAAACACATTTATGCCTGAGGTTGCATTTTTTTTGAAATTTCAATCATACTTTGGCGATGACTTTGAGCAGTAGGATATAAGTAACTCCCACATGCTTCGTGTTCCAATAATGGAACAGTAGGCATAAATGGCTCAATGGAAAAAAACTCAACATCTACAATGTTAATGGGTAAGTAATTTGTGACTTGCAAGACATGTGGCATAAATGGTTAAAATGCCATCTGTGGAGTTGGGATGCCAGGGTGTGCTGTCCCAGTCTGCTGCTGATTAGCAGTGTGGCTTGGGCAAGGAACTTGACCTCTCTGTGCTTTTCTTATTTGTAAAATAAAGATGATCAGAAATTCAGCAGGAATGTGCTGGCACAGGGCACTTGTACAGCATCTGTTCTAACTGGTGGGGGTTTCTGTTCTAATTGGCCAGGGCTCATACCCTACTGGTTATTTAAATATTTTAAATATTTTAAATAACATCCCTGGAAATAATACCGAGCTCAAAACTGATCTGGGAACTAAATGGGATAACGTATGTAAAGCACTTGATACAACGGCTGGTACTTATTACACACTCTATGAATGTTATTACCACTACTTGAATAGATGCCCCATTAAAGAATGTAGTTGCCAAATACCATCCACATTTTATAAATTCTATTATAGTATCTAGATCATAAAGATTCTTCTAAAGATTTTTTTATCACAAAATTGCAGGGTTGCAACCATGTAACAAACTAGTGAGAAATGAACAAAAATAAAATGGTATTGACTTAGGATAGTGGATAAATTCTTTTTACTTCCCAAAGTTTATTTAATTTTGTTACATTATAAAATAGTTATTCTTTCACAAATTAATTTATCTTCATATATCTGGTAGTAATCTTTAGATTAATAATTGCTTTCTCATAGTAAATAGAATTTGGTTCAAAAATATTTTTAGATACTACCTAGTATTGCTGTACAGATTTGTATACAAAAGGAAAATTCAAACAGAAGTGGTCTCTAAGGATAAATTGACATAATAATCATATTCCAAAGACTTTTCCCCACAGCAATACCTTTATAGTAATACTCTGTTGGTTAATATTGAACATTTGCCTTCAAAATATAGCAATTATCTCTTACCCAAGACACATAACTACGCACAAAGCCCAGTTGTTTACTTATCTATGATCTAGCCTATTGGTTATCAAAATATGGCACCTGGACCAGCAGCATAAGCATCACCTGGGAGCTTGTTAGATATGCACATGTAGAGGCCCACCCCAGACCTACTGAATCTGAAACCCTGGACATAAAGCCCAGTATCTGTGTTTTCACAATTCCTCCAGGTGATTTTAATGCACACTCAAGTTTGAGAACCACAGATGTATTTCAATTTCTTTTTACTTTTTCCTTTTATTTCCAGACTCATTTTTTTTTCTTCTCGCTTTCTCCTGGATTTGCCATCCTTATGACAGGCTTACCAACCTTCAGGGAGAAGATGAATTTTGGGCCAATATCTTCAAAACTGTGCACGATTGAAGGAACATTCCCATCCGAAGAGATTTCATAAAAATTTATGTTGGTAGATCTGTTGGATGATGTTTGTAAAGCCAAATATTTTAGTTTGCTTTTGTTCTTGAAGGTTAATATTTCTTTTATTTAAGTATCTTATAGTTTAGGTTAAAATAAATTTTACTTTTAGTTACAAAGGCACCAAATCAAAAGAAATGCTTGTTATGGGCTTATGGTCCAATGTATGTTTCTAAGACTAACATAAATTCCTTTCAAAACATATTTCTTTGTGGACTTTCTGCTAAGAGTTTGTGCATTATGTGTCTACCAATTGTCAAGTTTCTAAATAAGTACAAAAGTATTACTTTAGAATTGACAGTAGAACTCTTCCCAGGATTACTGTTACATTGACTAGCATGTTAACATAGTAGACAGTCAGTACTTGTTGGTTGAATAAATGGATTTATAAGCCAAGGGTTTTCACCTTGCTGTGGCTCAAATGTAATAACAGGGTATTGAGCACCTTCAGTGTTCATTACTGGATGCCTATATTATTCATTCTTCCTATCCTCCTTTAGCTGCAAACCAATTCAAATGGTTTAGTCTGAATGGGGTTGGTCAAATCTGTTTCCGCCATTAGTGTAGAGACCACCTTTAAGATGGCTGATCCAGAGGTTTTAGTATTCTGGACCTAAACACATTGGACTTTGCTTAAGATTACCAACAAAGTTCTGCAAGCAAAGTGATGATGAGATCAGAGAAACCATCATAGGACCACTCAGACTAGAATGAAACTGGGGACCTCCCCTCTCCTCACTCATTTCTGGGGCTCTGAGGTGGGATTCCAACCAGAGTAGCTTCTTTGGGTTGGGGATTAAGGTATGAGTGGTGAGGGTAGGGGTCTGAGAACACTGTGCATATCCTTTCCATTTATTCCCACTGGACAATTTATGTTAATTATAGAATGTTAATTCTATTTCTTAAAAACTTGGGGTGGGCATTTTCTGAAGTAGAATTTTTTTGGGGTTCTGTACTAAAACCTTGTCTTTCCCTCTTTTATGCCTTAATGAATTTTTTCCAAATCCATAAAAGGAAAATATGTCATAGGGAGACTTGAGTGGATGTATTTGTCAAGGTTATATATGAGAGGAAACAATGATTTGTCAGCCTGACATGGAAAATGGGAAAACTGACTAGGATTTGAAACAGAAAGCTTGGATGTGTGTGCATGAATTATTTCCTATGCCTTCCAGAAGATCTTTGTGTGAGATCCTAAAGGGGGCCAATTTCTAAATTAATATGGTCTCTCTTTGCATTTTAAAGAGATCTGACACTTTTCCATTTGTTACTTAAGTGTTCCTTAGGCTACTTAAGTGTTGATCAATATATTTATAATAGTAGTTATCTATACTCAGGGGGATCCTGCTTCAGAAATAATACTATTATCGCTATTTCTACCCATCTTTTTTTTACAGTATAATTGTACAGTTTATACAGTATCAAAGTTGTTGCTAAGAAATACACTAAGTTATTGGGTAGGATTTTTTTCAAAAGTTTGTAAAGATGTTTGTTAAATTTTTTTGCAGCATTGCTTGTGATGGTTAAACCAAACAAAATAAAAATGCAAAACAACCAAATATCTTGTTAATATTGAATTGGTTATATAAATTATGATCCAGTCAGAACTGGAATAAGTTGGATCTGTATGTCCTCATATGAAAACTTTTCTAAGATTACGTAAAATGCAAGGTACAGAAGAGTGTTTTAGCATTCCTTTTGGGTAATAAAATGTGTGTGTGTGTATATATATGTGTGTGTGTGTGTGTGTGTGTGTGTTATATGCATATATCCTGGTAGATAAGCAACCCTGTATCTGGAAGATATTCGGAAAAGTCTTGTTAGTCCCCTATGGGGAGTGGCACTAGGGAAGGTGGGGAGGGATGATCTCTCACTGTGTATCTTTCTCTAATGTTTGGGTTTTCTTGGTAGTAGGACTAGGAGCCGTTTTAGCTTTTGTCCTTTATAATTCTCTACGTTAATGTTTTTGAGGATATATTTTAAAGAACATTAGAATACATTTGAATTCAAGTTGCCATTACAAAAATACATGCCTAATATGATAATTAGTAAAAGTAAAGTCTCATTTCAATCTTATAGTTATTTCATTCTTAAATATCTGGGAAAATATTGGCCATTGTAGGACAGTAGAATAATAAAACTACTGTATTGACAAAAAATATTTAGAAGAAAGGATCAATATAAGAAGGAAAATATTCAGGTAATGTGGTAACATCAATTTGGGTTGGTTGCATTTGTTTCCAATGCCTTATTTTAGCAAGTGGGGATCCTTTGAAGTCTGCAGTTGCTGATGACTTTTTCAGAGATGTATTATTTGGACTGTATTTTGCTTCTGCTTGTGCTGTTTGCAACTCACTTGATACAGAAGCATTCTTTTCATCTTTGCTCTTTGGCTCAAGCTCTAGACATGATGACATATTTTCCTTTTTGTTTTTGCTCAGAGAGCTATTGAATGATCTACAGATTCCATGCTCTTAGGGGCTGGGGTGATTGTGGTAGAAATTAGACAAACCTGCTGTCACTGGATTTCTTGGGAAAGTGCTGCAGTGTGCTATTCAGGGGTCATTGATCTGTGCTGGGAAGCTGTCCTAGTGCTTCACCAGGTAGAGAACTCTGGCTCCCAGGCCTGTAGGAGGGCATCACCTGGGCCCATTGCACCTGCACAACTGTGCCCCAGTTTGTCTGCCATGAACTCACCTTATTTCTATGTAGGAGTTAAAGTGATATCAATCTATTAGAACCTGTGAAATGTGGATGTTACCCACTTCCCAAGACACCCGTCCCCCTGAACAATTAAAAACAACTGGTATCAACCAGTAACATTTACACCACTGCTCTCAGGTTTGCTTGCTTTGGGCAGGTAAAAACAGGGAACAAAGCATTTCTTTATGGATGACCTCCTTTGGAAAAAGCCTCATTTCCTCCTGGCTGGAAGAAAACCCTAATCTGATATGTTAGGAATTTTTCACTCAGAAACTAGACTTGATCTAGTTTCAATATTTGAATATTCAAACCGTGACTAGATTCAATATTTATTGTGAAACTACTGTGTGTAAAACTTTGTGCTTGGGGCCTCAATGTCCAGGAATGGACATACCGCTTGAGATCTCATATACAATGGGAAGCAGGCAGTGAGAAGAAAGTGCAGACAATTCTCAGGACCTTTGAGAGTTCTGTTTCAACATTTTGAGAATGTTTGCAGCTACTCAGAGGGCCTGCAATGTGAAGTGTGCCTGTGATGTGTGGCTACAGGGATCTTTCTCTGCCTTTCTGGGCTGTTCTCGTTAGTTTAATAAACCTAATGAGTCACTCAAGGTTTTCCTAGGGACCGATATGTCTGTGGACTTCTGTTTTAGTTGACAAGAATTGTAATTCAAATTCTTCAGTTAAGAATGAGCATACAGAGGACTTATTTAGCCATGAGCCAAAAATCTTCTGATCTAGAGTTGGTGTTAGTGATAACA